TGATCGGAATCCGATTGGGTTGAGATGTTCGTCCGTCGTCGTTCAACTTTTTTTTGGGCTCGAGATCGTTTTCGCCTTGCGGATTCTGATGAGGTGCCTGCTATCGGTTTATGTATTCGTTAGTCGGCAATTTGTGTTTGGTAGCTCTGGATTTTGAAAGAGAAGGAATTGAGTTGATTTACATGGTGGTTCTAAGGTACCTTCCAATCGGAAGATAGAACCGATGCCTTCTCTTTTACCGTTCATTTACATGATCATGTTGACGAGGTGTAACCTTGCTTTGATGTTTCGCTACTGTGAATGAGCGCACGATCGACCGTGTGATCATGTTACTGTATTGCCCAAGCGCGTTGAGTTCGAATTCCTGAATAAATTTCGTGGAAGTTGCTGGCTTAAAAGTTCTCTAACCTCTAACCGAGGAGGAGGACGTGCTGTTTTCTTGAATCCGCGGGATTCGCGGCTCTAGAGGCTTTCTATCGTTCGCATCTTGTTACCCGTCAAACTGTATCTAATCTATCTTATCGCGACAATTGATGACTGCTGTTGTACTGGGACTTTCTGCTATCATCTACCGGTCAGTGTCTTGTTTCGATCATGCGGAAAACTTCCACCATCAACACTAGTACTGAGGTCGGATGTGTTTCTTGCCTGGCGTTGCAGGATTTTGACGAAGACCTGTTTGAAGAGCTGAACAAGTACGGAGAGATCGAGAGCCTGAATGTCTGTGATAACCTCGCCGACCACATGGTACTGCTCTGGAAACTGACATCGAGAACATCAGGGATACTCCTTTTAAAGACAATTTAATTCTTAGTAGTCTGTTTTTTTTATTTCCTGAGCAGGTGGGCAATGTCTATGTTCAGTTTAGAGAGGAAGAACAGGCGGAGAGGGCCCTTCAGAGCCTGAGTGGAAGATATTATGCAGGTTAGGGAACCTCTTGTTGGTGAAGCACTTGAGTTTAATTGACTATCCATTCTTGGTTTATTATGTTTGGCGTCTTACATTTCAGGCCGTCCCATTATTGTTGATTACTCTCCGGTGACCGACTTCCGAGAAGCCACCTGTAGGCAATATGAAGAAGACAAGTGCAACCGTGGTGGATACTGCAATTTTATGCATTTGAAAAGCATCAGCAGGTACATGATGTATTTAATTAGCTTAGCTAAGTCCAATGTTTTTGCATGATTCTTATGAGACTAGTTGACATCTCATATGTAGGGAGTTGAGGCGGCAATTGTTTGGGAGGTATCGACGTAGGCACAGTCGGAGCCGGAGCCGGAGCCGGAGCCGAAGCCCCTATCGGCACCGTAGCTACGAAGAGCACTCTCATGGAGGAAGGGGATATGGGAGGAGATATGAAGAGTATGACTATCATGATAGCAGGAGCAGGAGGCACAGGAGCACTAGTCCTGGCCACTGGAGAGGGAGAAGTAGGAGCCCACGAGGAAGGAGGAATGCCAGTCCAATTAGGGAAGGTAGTGAGGAGAGGCGTGCCAAAATTGAACAATGGAACAGGGAAAGGGATCAGCAAGAAAATGCTAAAGTGGCCAACTCTAACAGTAACAGCAATGGCAATCTTGAAAATGCTATTAATCAGCATGTGAAAAATGGGGATTTGTGTGCATATCAAAAGCAGCAGCAGCCGCCTTCTCAGCGTGGAGTATGTGGATATTGATTGAATTCGAGTTAATGGTTTGTTTCTTTCTCCTGTTCATTTCAATTTCATAGCAATTTTGCAGCTATCTTGATGGAAGTTTACCATTAAGTGAAGACATTTTTTTAATAAGTGAATCTTACTGCACGTTTTCCACTGTGCAGGTGGTGTGCAGGTTCAGTGTTCTGTGATATGATAATTAAAAAAAAATTACCTCAAAGCATCTTCATCATGATTATAGGATGATTGATTTCATGTGTGATTTGCATCCATGCCACCTTCCTTTTTTCTTTCTACCAATTTGCCGATACTAAACTTGGCCCATCTGCCTCTGCAACTTTTTCCTGCAAAGTCCTACTTTATTTCTTGGGCAACTCTGTCATTCTTTTATGACGTAGTGAGCCTGAGTCCTACTTAATTTTGGGGTAACTCTGTCATTATTTTATGGCATAGTAGGGCATGCTCCAATCAATTTCTATCCATAAAATGGAAGAATAGTTCTTAAACTATCTATGGTAGTGCAAGTCCCCACTTGTTTCCTGCTTGATTTTTGCTTACAAATTTTTACAAAGGTGTTAACACAACTTTGTGATTACCGAAATTCCCTGACATGTAGCATCTTTTGGTGGGTCTTTGGCTAATGAATTTTTGTTATCTTGCTTGAAGATTGTAAATATTAACTGTTAATTGAAAAAGTGTCTGCATTTCCTTTGGAATCATCAGTCTTTATTTGATGGGCCACTGTGACTTGACATATCAAAATGACCCATAGAAGATCATGTTGCCTTGGCAATTGATATATGCACAATATAATATGACAAACTCGGTAAGCCCTTTCATGTGTGTCATTTCTGGATTAATTCTCAGCTTGACTTGTTTTTGTTACTTTTATATACTTTTCATTGGAGATACAAGCATAAAGTTAGTAAACTTGGCCTTTGCCAATGTGCTTGTGGCATGTAGTTTTAGGTCATTTATGCATCTTTTACGCTCAGGAATTCAGTGCGCGCACATCAAGACTTATGTCGAAGCAAACTTCCACGGTTTTGATGGCTCTGCTTTCTGTTTTCACTTTCTACTATTTGCGAATTATGTAAATTAATAATGATCTTACGTACCTTTCAAGTCTTGCAGGTCAAGGTTCTGCATTTTTCCAAGTGGATCCAGTCTTTTACATCTTTAGTTTATTAAGAGAAAAAAAATTGATCCAGTGTTTTGATCGTGGTTTCCCTGTATGTACAGGTGGCCTGTCAGATCGTGGAGAATTGGGTCTGGAGGTTCTGTAGTTGTTTTGGATCTATCGGAGTACTGTAAGGTCATGCCTTGCTTTATTTTATGCATACCAGATTGGAAACAGCGATGTTAGTTGCTGTTTACTGCTTTGATCATCATGAGGACTCTTGTTACTTGTAGAATACTTGCAATCCATATGACGAAATGTTTAATGGCTCATAATAGCTAGATTTGATTGTGCGAGGATGAAGCAAACCGACTAGCGGTGGTCGTCGTTTCGGAAGACGCATTTGCATCCCGCGATTTGATGAACTTCCTGGGAAGTCATTGTCCAAATTGTTGTTTTGATTTGATAGGAAATAGCATGCAAACTGAATCATGCCGCGGATGTTCTTTTGGTCGACCTTGTTTTGTTCACTAGTTTTAGACCACAAGACTCGGACAAGATTGGGATTTCCGTGCGATATATGCTTATAACTGAGATCCAATTACCGTGGCGAAGGAGAAAAAGATACTGGGTACTTGCGTACTGACCTGCTTTCCATTCGTGTTGCGTCGTTCGTTGCTATAACAAATCAACGAGCTCGAGAAGTTTAACTAGTACTGGAATACATTGGGACCTTCAGTGCATATATGCTTTTCCCCAGTGACGGAGGTCCTGATTTATGTTGCCGTCTCGCTTCGATTATCATTCTTGAATCGCATAATGCTTGACGGGGTGTTCTTGGTGCTCATCAAGGCAAATGCCAACCAAGAAAAGGAAAAGGATAAAAGGGAAGAGAAGAAAGGATGATGAGGAGCACTCAGAAGCCTTTTGTGCGAGTTCATTCACCACTTTCGTAAGATCTACAACAGGTACCATCATGGATTTTGTGTTCTTTGAAGGACAGGTTTGGGCATAATTTGAGTTGCACCGCAATTACAGGAGAGGTGTCGGGTTATTGGATTAGGAAATGGATGTGGGTGAATTAGAAGCACGACACATAGTCGATTCTCCACGTCATATCAATGTTAAATGACTTCATATCTGAAACAAATTCAATCATGCTTTTACCTTGTATTTACCTGTAATGTGAGGTTCGTAATTTAAGTATACGCACATAATATAGTAAAAGAATAGTTCAGAAACGTATTACATGTGGAGGAGCATGTGACTAAAGTTTCGGCGAGAGTTTGATTAGAGTCGATGCCGAATGCGCTTCCGCATACAGTTTTTCAATATATTTTTTGATAGTACGTACATTTCTTTATACAACCGCATGTACGATATATGGTCGATTTGTCTTTCACAACTAGTTACGTGATCATGTATAAAACAAAAATTTGGATGGAGTCTTGGGTCTACAGCGCTTATTGCCACGAATTTCAAAAAGGCGGGGGGTCGAGTTGTGAAGTTAGCGAAACAACAAGTAGGAACTTGCCATAATCCCAAAGAAAAGGAAAAATAAAAAAACCAAACAAAAACCAAAAAAAAGAAAAAAAAAACACCCCCAAAAAAAAAATTAAAAAAACAAAAAAAAAAAAAAAACCAAAAAAAATTAATTTTTTTTTTTTAATTTTTTTTTTTTTTTTTTTTTTTTTTTTTTTTTTCCCTCCCCCCCCTCCCCCCCCCCCCCCCCCCCGGCCCCCCCCCCCCGCGCCCGCGGGCCCCCCCCCCCCCCCCGGCCCCGCCCCCCGGCGCCCCCCCCGCCCCCCCCCCCCCCCCCCCCCCCCGGCCCCCGCCCCCCCCCCCCCCGGGGGGGGGGGCGGGCGGCCCCCCCGGCGCGGCCGCCCCCCGGCGCGCGGGGGGCGGGGGGGGGGGCCGCCGGGGGGGGCCCACGGCCCGCCGCGCCGCCCCCGGCGCGGGCGGCCCCCCCCCCGGGCGGGCCGGGGGCCCCCCGGGCGGCCCCCGCCCCGCCCCCGGGGCCGCGCCCCCCCCCCCTCCGGGCGGGCCCGCGCCCCCCCCCCCCGGCCGCCCCGCCCCCCCCGGCGAGGGAGAAAACGGCAGGGAGAAAAGGAGAAGAAGAAAAAGAAAAATTAAGAAAAGAAAAGAAAAAAGAAAAAATAAAAAAAATAAAGAATTTTTTTTTTTATTTTTATTAATTATTTTTGAATTGGTTTTTGATTTTAAGAATTAAGAAGGAAATTTATTCTCCCCTAACTTATGGGGCGGCTGTAAAAACGTTCATTCCATTGCGTGGTCGGTCTCATCACGTGGATCCCACGATTAAATTTTGTTTTAAAGGATGAATTTATAAGACGACAAAGCTCTTCATTACAGCAACAGCAAGCACATTAAATTTCACAAGACGGAAGCTCCTCCATACATTGGCCCACGAACAGTGAAAGTCTGTACAAATATAAAAACGAAAAAAGAAATTGGAAATCTACAACAAACAGCGCGAAAGGTCAAGAGACGGTAGACGCGATCACGCATGGGATTCGAACCGCTGCGGCGGTCATACTTTCGATGGAGGATACTACTTAATGATCGCGATCAACTCTGCGAATGGCGGAGGTGATCGGAGATGGCGGCCAACTACTGTAGCCAGAAATCCATGAACTTGAACCAATTGAAACCGGCCTTTGCGGCTTTCTGAGCTTCGCGAGAGCACGACGAAGTCGCCGCCGCCGCCGCCGTCGCGCCGCCGTCGCCGGCGGCACGACCGTCCGCGAGGGCCTTCTTGGGACAGACGAAGAAGTTCCTCGATCCTAATGCCATCAGCTTCTCCTCTCTATCCAAACCTGCAATTCCGAAAGAACAAAATGGATAAGAGACTTTCGATTCGGGCGCGATGAGGAGAAAGCCGCACATGAACGGATCGAGACGGCGTGGCGTTCCGATTCTCTTACTTTCCAAGCTGAACTGCGAATAGTGGAGGTCGAAGCGCGACGGATCGTCAGACGCCAGGGCGGGACGCCGCCCTTCCTTGGCGTACTGCCTCACGACGGCGGCCACCAGATCGCCGACCGTCGACTCCGGCGTCGTCACCACCTGCACGGCCCCGACGCCGCCGAGCACCGTCACGTTCAGCAGCAGCTTCGTCAGCCGCGGCCTCGGCTCCGCCGGCAGCCACGGCGGCGGCGGCGGAAGCTCCGGCGCCGTCATCGGGCGGCGCAGCTCCTTCGCCCCCGCGATCGCCGGCGGGACGCGGCCGTGGAACGAGGACGCCTTCTTCGGCGACTTCCCCCTCCGGCCCCTGTCCTCCGGCGCCGTCCGGTGAGACTTCGAAGTGGGCATGGCCGAGTTACGTAATAGAGAAGTAGATGTTCGGCGGAGCAGGAGGGGGGGGGGGGGGGTTACCACCGGCGGCTACCGCAAACGGCGGTAGCGGAAGAAGCGGGGGCGAGGGAAACCGAGAGCTGGAGAGTGGCTGGGGCTCTCAAGTTCCCGGTGGCCGGCCGCTATCATAACCAGAGTGGTCAAACCGTAAATTACGGAGAAAACGGAGGGCAAAGGAGGTCTTGCAGGGGACGAGGATGGCGGACGACGAGGAGGAAGATGAGGCTTTGGGCGCGACTTATAAAGGAAAAGGCGAAGAGAGATACCAGAGCCCCGCTCGCGAGAGTGGCCTGATACTTGCGATGCGTGACCGGCTGTAACCGGTCGACCGAGAGAGAGAGAGAGCATAGATCGAGCTCGGAGGAGACCGGCATTTGCCCGTGGCGAGTGAATCCGGGCTTTTGCTTGTTTAAGGCTTGCAAGTTAGGAATATGCGAGTGAAATCAGTCATTTTCAATCGGTTCCGACAGATTATTCGGCGTACCCGGAGAAGTCTCCACGTATCATTATTTAAATGGGGATCTTAGTTTTGCATGATCAATGTGATTTATAGGTCAATATGATATTTTTTTCTTTTCGTAAACCCAGATGAAATCAAATTAATCTGAATCGTTAGATTTGCCGAAACGTACGTGAAACTCACAAATTTTTAATAGTTTTGACTCAGTTTAAAATATAACTCGCGGGTTCTATATTAATTGAGTGTATTTAGCCATTTTAGAGAATTTTACAATTGACAGGTGTGAGTGATGTCGTGGGCTCACATGACCCAATGTATCCAATATCGTGATATATTACATTCTTAGATTTGGATCGCTATGAATCGAGCCCGTCAATTACCACGAATTCAAGTTGTACATAAACGTCACAAGGCCTATTATCTCTTGATCCGGAATATAAAATAAGAAAGAAAAAGAAAAAGAAACAGGAGGATTCGCCACTGGGTCGCGTAAATATATTCTTATTCCAATTAAATGATCTCTACATCTCGATCGTTCTATTCTAATTGAACAATTAGCTGGATTGCGCGGGATGAATATCTTTGACTCCATACTTAGAACAGATGAGGATGGATGGAGAAGGAGAGGTGGGGCATTCTGCGCTTGCTTCTTCGACAATTCTCTCCCGTGCTCAGATCTGTCTTTCTTTTTATGTGCCACGAATTAAATTATTTGTCGCCGAATCAATCAATATATAAATATCATATTATATCGAAAGATTCAAAGACATGAAACGATGATAACGTGGTGTAACCTAGATATTGGCCGAGAAGGGGATAAAGGGGATAAAGATAAGCAAAGAGACCACCCGCCTGGGTGGCGCTGCTGGAGCGCGCACTCTTCCTCTCGCAAAAGGTTGAGTGTTCGAATCCCGGGCGCCGCAGGGTGACTTAACCGGTGGTACGTGTATGGTGGCTAGCACGTGTCGCCCCCAGGGTTTACTCCCCGACTGTCGGCCGTACGGGGGTTCCCTGGATTATCAAAAAAAAAAAGAAAAAAGAAGATAAGCAAAGATGTCCCGATAAAATCCAGCACATGCTGATTAGGGCCAGTAGAGTATATCAGTCCCGTGTGACCTTGATGTTGTAGTTTGATTGGATGTACTGCAATTCAATAATGTTGGGTCAGCTTCTCGCACGGTGACGGACGTTGGATTCCGCGAATATCGAGGACTGCTTAATATTAAGGCCAAATTCTTTTTAAAAAGCATTAACTTTAGTTGAAATCCCTATTTGAAAAGTGACACAAACGGCATCTGAATTTTAACTCAACTTGCAATTTGATTTTTGGACCTTTAATTTTTCAATATGGTCCCAATGTCGTTCCAGAACTTGGCCCCTAAATTTTTGATACAAATTGACATCGACGAGGGAGATTCATTGACGATTGTATGGCATTGATATTTCTGTGAAAGATGAAAATATGTTTTCATTATCGATAAATAATTTATGTCTAGATATTTCCGTGAAAGATGAAAATATTTTTCGCTCGTTCATTTTTGTAAAGGATATAGGAGATTGTTTTCAAGAAAATACTTTTTAAATCATATATTTTCTGTGAAATAAACGGAGCCTTACTCTACAATCCACGACGGCGCGTTAAAAACTTGGCCTTACGGAGCCTAACAAGCTATAATCCAGTTATACCAATGGTTTGATGCTCTTCGAATGAAGCACTTATACCCATTTTCTAATAAGCCTGGAAATTTAATATTAAGCCCGACTCTCTTGGTGGGGGAAGATATTTCGTAATATTGTCGGGAAGCGCTCCTTTTTCGAGTAGCACTGGCCTTTCACATCCCTAAGTTCGTGATAAGAATGTTTTGATTAGTGCACGTAGCATTCTCATCTTGTTTTGAAAAGAACTTCCATTATTATTTGACAATATCTCGCAATCAGCCTCGTGACTTATTAAATATGTCGTTGTGCACATTTCATCAGCCACCGTTGATTTCGATAAACATGGGGCTCTTGTGACGTTTACTGTCGCGGAACAAATCCCCGGCATGAAGTGGGATGAATACATGCGAAATCTTGAGCGCAGCACATAGTAAATTCTGCATCATAAGTATATTATTCACATACCATGTCGGCATAAGATAGATTCGGTTAGTAGCTAATGAAAACAATCACGGTCTTAAAATTCTCCAAGAAGGTTATGAAACAGCCAACTCCTCAAACAAAGGTGGGTACGAGACAAAACACGGGAGGGAGCTTTCCTTTTGCGAGACACTCTCGTTTCTCGATTATTACTATCTCTGCATTCTCTGTCGTAGAATTCGATCAACAGGTGTTATTGCGTAGACAAGATCTACCGGTTCAAAACATGTCAATTTATTTTCTTTCACAGCTCATGAAATTTGTCCACAACGTCCTCGAATCCAGCAAAGTTGTCAAACACGTCAGACATGCGAGCTGGTCCATACAACACGAAGGGGCACCTCCGCGAGAAAAGGGCCAAGTGGCCCATCCTCCTCTTGTGAAGAAGACGGTGCCCTCTCTTTGTCCTATCTCCATTATTGCAGACACTTGCCCTCCAGCACTTGGAGAGAGGACAGTGACTTGGACATGCTTTTGTCCATTGAATCTTTCCCCCAACCTTGCCCACCATCTCTTCTCCACCCTCCCCCCCTCCCCCTCTCTCTCTCTCTCTCTCTCTCTCTCTCTCTCTCTCTCTTTCCCACCACATGTTACATTACATCTTTCTTCATCAGTAAGAAACTTGGCTCATTGAGGTTTGATCACAACGTGGGGGGTTCCACCTTCGCTTCTGGTTTGGAGTTTTGCATGTGGCGTGCCTTGGTGGGATTGCGAGATCATCAGTAAACGCCGGATTAGGGAACTATCTTGCCTTTAAATCGCGGGTTAAATGCGTTTCTCTATAGATCTAGGGAAAATTACCAAAAAAGACCTAAACCTTTTGCAATTATGCCAATTCAGTTCTAAACCTTTTTTTTTGTCAATTCAGTCCTAAACTTTTTGCAATTGTACCAATTCAATCCATCCGGCCACTTTTGGCCTGCCGGCGTTGACGTGGACGTCGGCGCGGCTGACGTGGCAATTTTTAATAATTTTTTGATTTTTTTTTTGATTTTTTTCTGGCCTATCTTCTTCCCTGGTCGCCAGTCCGGCGAGAGGCTGAGGCCGGCGAGGTCCACCTTGACGGCCATGGGCGAGGCTGGCCCTCGCCAGCACTGGCGAGGGCCAGCCTCGCAGTCGCCGGGCCAGGTCGACCTCGCCCGGTGAGGGCAAGGTCGACCTCGCCCTGCGACGGCGAGGTCGACCTCACCAGATCTGGGCGAGGCCGCCCAGATCTGGCGAGGCCTCGCCGTCGCCGGGCCAGGTCGACCTCGCCCGGTGAGGGCAAGGTCGACCTCGCCCTGCGACGGCGAGGTCGACCTCACCCGAGATCCGGGCGAGGCCGCCCAGATCCTGGGCGAGGCCTCGCCGTCGCCGGGCGAGGTCATGGCGAGGTCGACCTCGCCCGACGACGGCGAGGCCTCGCCAGATCCGGGTGAGGCCTCGCCAGATCCGGGTGAGGCCTCGCCGATCCGGGTGAGGCCTCGCCGTCGCGGGGCGAGGTCGACCTCGCCAGGCGACGGCGAGGTCTCGCCAGATCTGGCGGCCTCGCTGTCGCCGGGCGAGCCCTCGCCCTAGCCATGGCGAGGTCGACCTCGCTCGGCGACGGTGAGGTGGACCTCGCCGGCCTCAGCCTTTCGCCGGACCGGTGATCGGGGAAGAAGATAGGCCAGAAAAAAAAAAGAAAGAGAAAAAAATAAAAAATTATTAAAAATTGCCACGTCAGCCGCGCCGGCCTGCATTCATGTCAGCGCCGGCCGGCCAAAAGTGGCCGGATGGACTGAATTGGCACAATTGTAAAAGGTTTAGGACTGAATTGGCAAAAAAAAGGTTTAGGACTGAATTGGTACAATTGCAAAAGGTTTAGGATTTTTTTGGTAATTTTCCCATAGATCTATTTCATTGATTTGGTGGTTTCTCGGATGTGGAGGAATCTTGAACGATCCGGAAGAGTGTTTTGTTTCGGTGAGGAGGGTTGGTGCATCTCTTTCGCGTGCTTCTGAGATGCCCCATTCAAGGAGAAACTCCAAGAATTGACTTATACTAGGTCGCCAGTTTCTTTCTGCTCCTCAATTATTGCAACCGTGGCCTTGATGATTTTAGGGTTTGTGTGGATGGGTGACCCGATGTATGTGGTTTGACCATGATCTTGCGTGTGAGCACAATACACGTACATGAAGCATACGTTGTGCTTAACGCATTGCTTCTCTCTCTCTCTCTATGTTTTTTTTCTTTTTTGCATGAATAAGAATGTACCGACAATTAGATTAACGATATGACAATTTTCAGGGATGACGTCGAGATGGGGTGGGAAACATGATTGTATCGTCCAACCCACGCCAACCCATTTGGGCCCAATCCACATTTACCCGAAGTTTGGAATATTCAATAATTGCAATCGCTACGTGTGATCGACATGAAGATTGAATTGGACATACATGGATAAACATAAAGATCATTGGCTATACGAGTTTACTGTAGATAGTTTTCATTATTAATTAAGGGAAGACAAAAAAATCTTCACGTGAAAACTCTCCAATCGAAATCAAATAAGACGCGATCAACCTCAGCCCGGCCCCAAAACCCCATTGACGCTTCATTGGTGGCGGGGGTAAAAGTTGTCATACCCAATCAAATTTGGACCGTCGTTTTGACATCTTTAGTAATACTTCATTCGCACGATGGCGGAGTAAATCGAAATCATGTTCAAATTCCAACGCTAGCTGATCGAAATTCAAAGGAAATCGTGGACTTATGCATGAGATTCCATCAAATCGCAAGGGGAATTAGTGCGTGGGAGCAACTGAAATCGAAGTGGCGAAACTGGAATTGAAACTGAGATTTTACCCGGAATCGAATTTGGTTAGACATTGTTGGGCTGTTCCACAATCTAGCGTGGGCCTAAAACACAACGTTAGCCCAAATCCAATTCGCGCTTCCATCGGAACCGTGGAATGGGCCTCTTTCCGGTCCAACGGTCAACCCATGAAGGTTAAGTCTATATGGCCCCCGAAAAAGCGAGTAAACGAGATTTTTTTCGCCTTACTTAGCCTGTAATCAGCAAAATCGATTGAAAATTTCCAGCAATTTCTTATCGGAAATTATCTGAAAGCATTGTGTGAATGCAAAGCCGTTGATTGTATATCAAAGAGCACCTTTTTATGGACACTTTTTGTGTAACCCATTAAGAAAAACTACTCGAGATTCTACATACTCAATTTTATAGTTTTGTTTCACGTAATTGAGATATCGAAATCAAACCGATCCATTTAGAACAAGTTCAAGTGCCTTGAGGACATACATTGGTTAAACTTTTGGTTAAGTCGATGATGTCGCCGTGAGTATTCCAGACATCGGCGTCAAGAACATTTGTACCCTCCATGTCCAAGTTCAAGACCCGAGAATAAAACTATGTCAAAAAGTGCTGCGTAAGATGCTTTCCGCAAAGCGATTCCGTGGCCCCATAATGGAGTATCGGCTTTTCCCAAAGTTGTACAGCATGGGTTTGCTCGATGCCCCCAAATTGAATAAAAAAAGAGAGAGAGAGAGAGAAAGATTAAGCTATTACAGCTTTTTGGGTATTGCAATTGCTTGAACAGTTAATCCGAAATTTAAACCAACCAAGAACTAGGTGTCGATTCCTCCATCTCTTCATCACCCGATTCAACTGGACTGGTCCGATCTGACCTGGTCGAAAAATCGTCTGAACTGATAAGAGCTAGTTAAGAAAGGGTGCTGTAATTCAGAACCTCATCTCGTCGAACTGGTCGTCCGAACTGATGCGATACATGCACAAAATGGAAGCCGCTGCTTCTAGTTCTTCCCTTGGGCTGCAAATTTTCACTCAGCGCGGCAGTTCTTCCATGTCACTAGGAATTGCCCAAATTGCAGAGGAAAGCGATTGATTACGGATGATGCAAACGTTGGGCAACTCTCATCGGCACACGAATACCATCATCTTTTGCGCGGCGATCTCATGGAAGCATCGCAGCTTTTCAAAGGCGTTCGACGAGTTCGGCAAAAACATAAGCACCTCGTAACTACGGCTATCTGGCTGCTGCCAAAAAAAGCTTATGGATTTCTTCCAGGATGCTGCCCCGACCAATTTCAAGAAACTACAACTCTAGAAACACTTTACCAATTACATGAATGAAGAGATAATAAGTGCAGACGCAACTATGCAGAATCAAACATCAATGATCAAATGAACTAAAGATTTCGCGAGTCCTACCATGATTTCGCTTAAGCTTTCATCAATGCCCCCTCTGAATATTAAGAAAAACTTTAGCTTGTTATCCGGTTTAGCTTCATTCAACAATGAAAAATATTGGGTTTTGCTTTAGTATAAAAGAGTACCATCCTTCACATTAACAACAGAGATTAGGCCAATTAACTGAGTTAAATACACCATAACTATACACAAGTACAGGCAGGGCTCCAGTCCCACCCCACTCATATCCCATGATCTGCATGATCATGAAGGAACTGCAGCAAATTCAAGTTAATCTGCATAATCCTAACTTTTGCTGATGGAGCTTCTTGCTACATGAAAGAAAACAAAGAGACAGAATCCTTAATCAATGCTTATGTTGCTGGGTGTAGATGTAGTCCAGGTGTGCCTCTGACATGAACCTTCTTTTTATGCATTCTTCTTCGCCATCCTCGCATGCCTCCTCTCCCATCAGCTGCATTGAATTTTTTTTTAAAAATTTTTCCCGAAAGAAAGTCACACACGACAGAACAAAAGAGCAAATTTAGATCACGATGAAAAGAAAATCGCGGAAAAGGACATGCGGATGCAGTAGGTGAAGGAAAACAATAGGCTGTGCAATGCGTACGTTACGGATCATATCGTCACTTCCTTCCATCTTCTCTCGCATGGAACCTCCCGAGCTGGCGATTTTCTCCATCTCTTTCTCTTCAAGCCCTGGAAAAAAAAGAAGATACAGACAGCTTCCCCCTTAATTAGCCTTTCCTCATCTTTCAAACGTATGTGATGATGGGGTCGAGGAAGGATCAACTAATAGATGCTTCAATTACCTGGTTCATTTGCTGCGTATTTTGCAGCTGAACTTGATGACAGAAGAAGGAAGAGGAGGAAGATTGAAAGGGCATGAGAGCATAAGCCAAACTTCATTTTTGTTTTGAGCTTGTATCAGAGACCAGATGGTGGAGAAGATGAGTTTCAGAGGGTTTTGAGAGAAGGGGTGATTGGGGATTTGGAAGGACTAGGAGCACATTGATGCACTTAAATGCATGCAAAAAGGAAGTGCCACTATACTCACTTTCTTCATTTTCCTTTTGGTACATGCTTCTTTTTTGGGTGGTTAAGATAATTTTCAAGTCATGTATTTTGCATGACAGATGTAGAAACTCCCGTCCGAAGTAGGGTCCACAACCTAGATGTAATCATAGCCGTTGAGTTTTTTGAAATTCGAATGATCGAGAGTTGGAATTGACTCAGTTCATGTGAAGTGGAATCCCGACAAGAAATTTCCCTTAGACAGCGTGCAGTAGGAGTTTTGGGATGTGTAATCCGGTGAGGAATTGACGATTAATTGATCAAGATTTTATTATTATTACATATGATGCTTTAGTTAGATTTGCTTTAATGTGTCGGAACTGTGAATAGTTTTATAGCAAAATTCGAACGAAAAGAACTAGACATGCTGAAGAGGGTGCTTAGTTTGTTGCAAGTTGGTTGCCGAAGTGCAAAGCCAAAAAGGTACGTTGGCCCCCTTTAATGTCATAAAGTGAGGAACCCGGTTCTTAAATCGAAGGCCTATTACGATCTAGAAGGAGTGAGCAAGATGGAGAATCCGAGAGAGGAGCAAAAAAGGTCGGAACTCGAACAATGCAAGACACGATTTAGCTAACTCAGTCTTATTGATCTCGAAATCTTATACAATTGATTCGCTCACTCATTAAAGTGGCATACCAAAAAAGAGAGGAAAGATTCAATCCAAACATAAGTTACCCTAACGCTAACTGCACATTCGATGCTTATTCCTATACTCTAACTTCTTATCCTATTCCGCTTTGGCTGTAACTTATAATCTCTCGTAAGGGTCGAATTATGGACGGTAAGTCAATAGATACACCAATTCTTAGAAAAACAGTCCCATGATATCACGTCTCAGAAAATTGCAAAATATAAGGCTATTGAAGATTGTATAAACAACTCTAAATCAACCATTTGAGGTACGAGACTCTTGAGATATACTAGCCTTTGCTCGGTCAATTTCAATTCCCTTAAGCTCGAACTAACTTGAGTATCAGAGCTTGCTCGGAATCCCATCCCCGGTCGGAATTTCCTATGTGTAGTGTGCCGAGTACGCAGGATCAAGAATTAGCTGTGGTTCAATTCACATTTGACTGTTATCCAACGTCAGATGGTAATTGATCGGCGTCGACACTAGAAAAGCACACGAAAGCAAAATCCTGAAAAATTCACAGGAAATCAGTTCACGAAAGTCCCAAAGTCCTCTGTGTGAGAGAGAGAGAGAGAGAGAGACTGTGCTTTACGTCACTGCCTGCCAATAAAGTGGTCCCACGTAGTTCAGAAATCAATGCAAAGGTGGGAGGGGTTTCACTTTCACTTTCTGACAGTGTCTGGGAAGTCAACCATCTTGAAGAACGCAGTAACAGTCGTTCGATCCATTCGAGTAAATTTTACAGCGTGGCGTTGCAGTTCGTGCCAAGAAAACGCACGACATTTTTCGTTCGACAGCTGGTGTCCCATGCGCACATGTGCTCGTCTTTTGACGTGATGGGGGACACGCGGGGCAAGATTCTCTGAGTTAATAATGCTGCGAAAAAGCGACAAAACCATGCAAAGATCCCTCCAAAGTCCGAACTGCAATCGCACATTTAACTAGGCGCGTATAAAGCATCTCGTTTGGAGGATTTGGGTATGTGTTTGTTTATCAGTGGTTAAGAAAATTTGCTGTTAAATTAAGCTAAAAAGGAGGAAAACTAGTGGAAAAGATCAAAACCCCTTTCCTCTGTTCCACAGAAAACTGGCAAATACACCTTTTGTTTTCTATAGGCCAAAAGCCACAAAAAAAAAAATTTAAACTATATCCAATCGTGATATATTTATCTTCAATTGTTTTTTATGGCACAAAAAATCTTAAATTTGTACTGTGTGACACATTTATCCTCTTTTAAAATTCTGTCAATGAAAATCGAAAAAAATCTGCCTGCATGGACGTTAGAAAGCAAACTATGTTATATGGCACCCACGTGACTTAAGTGAAATAAAAAACGACGTTATTTTGACTAAAAAATCATCTGACGGAACCTTGGGGATTTTTTATGTTACAAGAAAAATTTTATGGTAAATGTGTCATAGCGGGTACAATTTAAGGTTTTTGATGTCATAAAAGAATTCAAGATAAATGTATTACTATGGGCCTAGTTTGGATTTTTATATGGCCTTCCCCTTTATAGCTAACTTTGACTACTATTGTTTCCTGTTCTTAAGATGTTTTTATAGCTTGCAACACTTAAACTTTCTTGGCCCGATCAAATTTCAACGGTGCACGCAAATTGTTCCGTCCTTGTCCGCTTGCATCATGTAACATTCCACTTCTAGGGCAATGGACGCGGCTCCGAGGTTTTGGAAGAAGTTGTGATTTGAATAAGAGAATTGCCACGTTCAAACCAAATGTTCAACCAGCTGGCCACCGGCGAAACTCTTGAAAGTTTGGTCTGATTTTTATCCGATATCCAACGCTTTTCATGACTTTAAAATCACGCATAGGGTGTTGGCATTCGAAGTCAGTTGAGACTGCATGGAATTTTCACATAGCTTTCTAAAGTTTTAAGTAGAATTCTATTGTTCATTTTGACAGAAAAGTAGCCTCAAATCCGAACGTTCTAGGCTTGGAATGAATTGAAGAGGCGTGTGCCCAGGAGAGGATGGTTTCGGAAGTCGGTCGGTCCAAGAAAGCGTTGTGACGTTTCTCGTCTAAAGCATTATAAGCCCAGAGGACAAAGCTATTGTGTCTGGGTTGGAGCCCATAAAGTACTGCTAGATCTCAAATTTCTTTTTTCTCAAACCATAGTTAAATTAGATTTAAAAGCAAAAAATTGCTCAAAAGTATCCAAAGAAAAAAGGACCAAAAGCCAAGCTACATCGACAGTGGGCTGGATGGGTAGCGGCGAGGGTTCGCTGCCCTTGCCGGTGAGCCCTCGCTCGAATCTGGGCAAGGGCCCTCATCTGCGTCGCAGCGACGATGGTGTCGGCGTTGCCACCATTGTACGAGGGTCGGTCCTCACCTATGGTTGACGAGGGTCGTCGGCCCTTGTCGGCACTAGGGCAAAGTAGGGAGCAACAACACCTTGAGCTTTGTCCATTTTTAGTAATAGAAAATTAGCTTCTTTACAGATTATATCCTCTCTTCTTTCAATATTTAAAATCGTTTCTGATGTGGCTTTTGCTGGGTGCCACATTGGCGTCATATGTCTTTAAAAGATTAAAAAAAAAAGTCACATCTCATCAACATCTTGCGTCAGCCAAATCGGACGGAATAACAGAAAGATTTGATTGCACCAACTTAGTAAGTTTTAGAACCTTTGCACCGTTGGAAAGCCTTAAAGCTCGATTGTACTTTCACAATAAATTTCAAATCCTCCGACACACTTATCTCATTAAAAAAAAAAAAAAAGATGAGGTAGGACCATATTTCTACTCGAAGACAAACACCCCAATTGAGGGTTAGAAGAAAACGTGCAGGTAGAGAAGCCACACTCACCAACTTAAAAAGGAAAAGGAGATACTTCCTACTCCCTCTCCCAAATTATGATATTTTTTTATTTTTCTAATTCTTATGTGACTATGGTTGTTGTTGCCATATTTTTTTTATTTTTATTTTCTTTATCCTAAGCACATATTTACCTCGTTAATTAACCCCACATGTCTCATTTCCACACCCTCTCGTTCGTCACTCTTTGGTTATTTGTTATTACTAAGCTTGTGTATTGAGAAATATGCCAAGTTGTGACCCCAAATTGGCATTTACTATGATAAGTGAAATTACATCCCGTTTGTTTTAATAACCCTAAGCTTGAACCAACTCCGAGGTAGACCTTTCGTTATTTGCAAACTGAGTCAATTAGGTAAGGCGTCCTCATTACCATTTTAATTTGCTATTATAAAACTCTTCAGAATAAATGTTGCAGGCCTACAAAAGAAAATTCATCTGGTAGGTATAAAAATCGTATGAACGCGAGAAACAATGTTTCATATATGTCACTTGGCGACTTCGTAATGATTTTGACAAATTTAAAGTCTTCGGCCTTTTTTTTTTTATTGGGGCTAATTCCCTAAAAAAAGTTTTCGATTTTAGGTGTAATCCCAATTCTATCCCCAAACTTTTTGTGTAGAAAAAAATCCCCTGACTTTCACTTTAGTCCAAATCTGTCCACAGATCCAAAAGTCGCCACCGGTTTCTTCAAGATTATTAACATCATGAGGCTGTTGTCGTTATGTACGAAGGTGAGTGTGTTGATGAAGGCGCCGGTTATGATTACCGACCTCTAACTGGTCCTGATGTTTATAATTTTGAGTAAACCAATGGTGAATTTTGGACGCGTGAGCAGATTTGGGATTAGAGAGGAAGCCGAGGATTTGTTATTCAGACCAAAAAGAATTCAGGGCAGAATTGTGTTGGACTTAAAGTTAGGGGCTATTTAGGGAATTGGGCCTTCTTTATTGGCCAATAAGAAAATTTTCCGATTAAACAAAGGATGTTTGGTTAAATCCAATTTTTTTGTTTACTTATTAAATTCGTTTTGGGTCAGCGGAACGATGGGCGACAGAGAACCAATTTTCAATGGACAAAGGAATCAAATGAAACATATGATATTAAGGGCTGAATTTGTCTTGAAGGAGGGGAGAAAAATTCTAAGCGAAAGTATCCCTCCAGACTTGCCCAACTACAATCCTCTAAAGTTTGGTGGAAGTTTTTAGGAGACTTGGTCCAATTATCATATACTAATTAATTTCATGCATCTTACATAATCGAAATGCCAAAATCGACGTCTTTAAAAAGCTCATCTCTGAGATGCTCTACTGTCATCTGTGCACGTAAGCCTCCAATGTCTTTTCACAAGGATCTTTGCAGGACGCGTCGATATTCTAACCGCATTATGCAAAGTGTTTATTTTTTTACATGATAATTGAACTGATGAAAATCTTTATAAATGGGATTCATGAAGAGTTATTCATGGTGATGAACATTACCTCATGGCT